TTTATGATATCGTCAAACATATATTTTATTCAAAAATAAAAACATCATCGCTTTCTCAAAATCACATAAAGTCATATTATAACATCGACTGAGATAAAGAATAAAATGAAATATTAAAAACACGATGTATCTCGCTGCATTGCGCGAGTACTCTTCTAGTAAAATATTTAATAAAAACTCTTAAATTTTATGAATGAAGTATTATATATTGATCTATATTAATTAAAATTCAAGATTATAATTAATTATGTATAAATACAATTTATTAAAGCTTTATGTTTGAATTCGTGTAACTAACTGCGTATAAACATAATCAAATAAAAGATAAACATTTCTTTTTAAAATATAAAAAATCTAAAATATAATTAGAATAATTATTTTTATAAGAAAATTATATTATTAAATCAAATATATATTACTTCGTTATTGAACCTAAATTAAATTATAATAAAAAAAATTGAATTAAAAATTACACAAAAAAATTATGAATTTTAAATAGTTAATTTGATACTAATATTGATATATTTTTGTCAATTTTTTTTTATATCTTCAAGTTTATATTTTATTCAAAAATAAAAGCATCATCGTTTTTTTCAAAATCACATAAGACTATACTATAATATCGACTGAGATAAAGAATAAAATGAAATATTAAAACCAAGATGTATCTTGATGCATTGCACGAGTACCCTTCTAGTATTATATAATATAGTAAAAATATTGTATGAATATACTGGCATGTGGATTTATTTTTTATTGAAATTTTAGAAAAAAAAAGGTTTAAAATTGATATACATACACATATATAGGGTTGGATTTCAGTAAAAAAAATGACATTGTTCATGAAAACTGTGATGAATGTAACATATAATATAACGAAGCGTACTCGTATACTGTGTGAAGGTGACCGCCTTCATGTAAATCTATGAAGGTACAGATTTAGGTCAGGTCGTCTTCACCACTTATACAGAATATGATCAGTTAAAAGATATATTCATCACTTCTCACGTTTCTCATCAAAATCCTTTTACTATATACTTACAATTTTTTAATCTTCACATTTGAAGTTCATAAAACATAAGGGTCATTTACTAAAAGCTTACCCGGTAAGCGCTTACTACGTCATTTACCTTGCTTGATTAATATATGGCAAAGGCAGAGAATCTTACTTGGTGAGAGCTATTGATAAAGATGGAGAGTTTTACCCGGTAAGTGGATGACAACACTTACCTGGTAAGCATTTAGTAGATAAATTGTTGCATACGACATTACGATGGACTACAATCTTACCCAGTAAAGTAAATTAGAGTGTTAACCCTTACTGGTAGTAAGCATCTTGGTAAACGGCCCCTTAGTGAGAACCAACTTATAAGCATATTTAAATACAAGATAAATGTTAAAGCTCTATTAATACAACGTTATACTCCACAAAATTGATAACCAACAAACCACTCTTTCGTTCTCTCGAAGCCACACGAAACTATAAAAATAAAATTGAGATAAGCGAAGATTGAGGGTTAAAGTTCCCGCCTTCAAGTTCGAGATAGGGTGGCATTGTGTAGCACGGTTACATTACACTAGTCATTATTACAGGAAAAACCGCAGTTTGTTAAATATGTTAAACTCTATAAGGAAGCCCATGGCCCATCAAAATTGTATTGATATAAATAGTTTAGTTTTATGTAAAGTTTGATTCACACTTTGATAATAAAGTTGATTTTCTTTTTGTACTTGCTCTAATATTCTTCTTATTTATTTCTTGTCTATCCTGTTTCACAGCACATTTCCACCATAATATTGGTATCAACGCAAACCCTAATTTCTTGATTCAACCATTCATCCTTCAACTCGGCATGTGCTACGAGAAAAGCTATAACCATGGAGGAAAAAACATCAGACCTCTGGAGCAAATAATTGAAGCCCAAATGAAGGCTATTGTAGAGATGAATGACAGGGATGAAGGAATCTGAAATCCCAATTAATTGATCCTCCAAATAGAGCTCTAGGGTTTGTTCCTAAACCTGAGTATTTGATGGTTCTAATTCAGTGATGTGGATAAAGAGTGCAACTAGTACTTCAGTCTGTGTAAAACTCCTCAAGATCAAAAAGTTGATCTGGCTTGTCTGAGTATGGTTGATAAGACAGAAACTTGGATGTAAGTTACATAGTAATCAAGAAGAGTGTTGATTTGACCGAATTTGTCATTGATATGTTTGCAAGATTTTAAAGATTTCTTTCCTCCTCCCCTACAATTTGTCTTCTTAAATAATAAAAACTAAGGTTCAAAATAGTGTGAGTGCGTGACGTGGCAGCAAATTCAAGCCTCACGCCTTACATGCTACAACGAGGATGTGACATTTTTCAATACGTGACATAAGACGACAAATTTATACGTCATATATAGACTTAATATATATAAGCGAAGGATCGTGTAGGAAGAGAAGTTATAGTGAAAAGCCTAAGAAGATATCTGAACCATTGGTCATTTTCAATCTCATGCTCACCCATGAATTGTGCTTTAAAAGGGAATTGATCTGGTGCATCTCAGTACACCTCATTAGTGTTGACATCTAATTATGATTGATGAAAGGGTGAAAATATCTTCTTACGTTTCTCACCTTAACTTTCTTTCTCACCGAACCGAACCCTATATATGTGTGTGTGTGTTTATATTATTCAATCAAATAATGATATTAAAAAGTTTACATTTATATTAGAAGACGAATAATCATATAGATTATTATTATTATTATTAAAATAGTTATTGATGAAATATTTAAAATAAGACTTAGAAAGATAATTTCATGAATTTGTGAAATTATGAGGGATGTGATTAGATAAATCTATAAAAATGTAAAATCTAAAATTAAAAACGTAAAAACCCAAAAGTTAAAAAAAATATATTTTTTTTTTGACATAACAATGCCTTGAAAAAAAAACATATGTTATGGCATGAGTCATGCCTTACAGAAACGCTATAGGTCTTAGCGTAATGGCGAAGATATGTCTTGTGTCATATCGTGCCATAGCGAACGCTATGACACGTCTTTTTAAACACTGATAAAAAAAC